AGTCTGCTGTGTGCGCCCAGGGGCGGCCGATGCCCCTCGCGCTCTCCGCTCCGCCGCCACAACTGAGCCGCATCGGGACCGGGCGCCGCGCGTCGGAGCCGACACCCGGTGAGCGGAGGCAGGGCCGGTGGATCCCCGGCCGGGAGACGCGTCGGGCCCTGTAGGGAGAGGCGGCGGCGGTGCACGCCTGGGGGGTGAGGGCGCACCCTGCTTGAGTCTCCCGGCCCGGCGCTCAGCTACCCGAGCTGTCTAGGGGCAAGGGCGGTCTGCAGTACCTGTCCTGGGGCTCAAGGGAAGTGGGCACCCTCTTCTCTCTGTACCTCATCTCCCCGCCTTCGCAGGCGAGTTCTACCCTATTCTTTGGTAGATTCTGGGAGACCAGAGGTCGGAGAGCCTTGGAGAGCCTGGCAGTGGCGTTGGGGTCCCTGCCTTGATGTCCCCCGCTACCCTAAGCTTACACTTTTCTCCGGGAGGATTAGATCTCTAAGGGCTCCTCCCTGTGGTCCAGGCCGTGTTCCTCTCCTACCTCGTTCGCTCTCAGGCTACTTCACAGCCTTGACCTTCGCCTTCTCCTCATGAATAGGAAAACCTCAAGCCCCATTAGCTTTCCCCTTGGACAGGTCTGCAAAGAGACAGGAATCAAGCCTGAACCCTTATCTCAGCCCAGCCCTTGGGCATAGCCTTACCCCTCCCCCTAAACCCATGTACCCCGAAGATTCATCTGAGTAGCTTGCTGAGTGAGTGTGTTTGTGGTGGGGTCAGAGGCTTCAAGCACTCAGGAGGTGGAGGAGGGAGGATGGTAAGTTCCAGACCAGCCTGGAATGCGTAGTGAGACCACTGTCAAAACAACTAAGCCACCAAAAGGGAGGGGGGGGGGAAATCCCTCAATCGTTTCTCCCCCTCCCTGCCACTGTCACCTCTCAGGCACCTACCTCCCTTTTGCTGGGTCGCCCTCTATCGTCCACTAGAGGCACAACTCTACCTGAGCTGTTGGGCTTGGACTGAGCAGGTATCCCTTCCCAGAAGCTGACCTTTTGGGTGGTGTGGCTTGGCTTGTTCAACCCCGCAAGTTAAGCCAGAAACACTTAAATCAGTACCCACCCTCAAGACTTCTTGGTTAGAGACCTTGGATATAGGGGAATGGACTACCTTGTTTGGACTGCAAAGGTTCTAAGAACAAATCTTATTAACCCATCACATAGATTGGGACTCTGAGGACTGAAATGAGGGAGAGACTTCCCCAAGGTCATTTGGAGAGTGGTAGCCAGAGATAGACCTAGAGGCTAGACCTGCCTCCCCTGGTTTACTTCTAAAACCCTTTACTTATAAAAGCCCCTTCCAGCTGGCCATGTGATCCAAGCTCAGAAAGAGACTCCTGTTCTCAGCCACCCCAGAGCTGGGAAGTGGGGGCTCAGGAACGTGGATGTTTGGGGGTTCCTTGACTGTCCTCTACCTGCAGGCCACAATGCTGCTTGGGGCATCTCTGGTGGGGGCGCTGCTGTTCTCCAAACTGGTGCTGAAACTGCCCTGGACCCAGGTGGGGTTCTCCCTGCTGCTCCTGTACCTGGGGTCTGGCGGCTGGCGCTTCATCCGAATCTTCATCAAAACCATCAGGCGCGATGTCTTGTGAGTACTTGCTCCAGCCATAGCTGGGCTTCTGACTTCAGAATGTCCCCAGATCAAACCCCATTTTCCCTAGTAGCACAGGACCACCGTACTCAAAAAGAGCAGATTCTGTTCCATATCTTTTCCTTGTCAGTAGTACCTGGTACTGTCATCTATAAGGTTCAGGTCTTCCCCCTAACCTGAGACTCCTTAGGGACTAGTGGCATATATCAAACTTCAGGTGTGTTGAGGAGACATCCACAAGGTATCCTGAAGACACTCATTTATGACAAGTTGTACAGGAGCCCCGCAAGAAGGGACCTCTCCTCCGATTGACACCAGAGACAATGGGTTCTAGATCAGGCTCCCACATTAGATGTCTGAGAAAACCTGTTCCCAGCAGTTCTATGCCAGGTGCCAGACTGTCTTTGAATCCTAGAGAGGAACAAGGCAGATCCAGTTTGCCAAATTCATACTAGCTAGGAGATAAGGCAATAAGGTAATTCTCTAAATTGACAGTGCAATCTGGGCAGAGGCCCTGGCAATCTTGCTTCCTCCAGTGTCCAGTACAGTGAGCCACACCCACTGGTGGCTCAGCATTTGTCAATTGGGGCTGATTACAAAAGGAGCTAGCTACAGAGTGGCCCTACATGAAGGATGATAGTGTGTGGGAGCATGGAGGAAGGAGAGATGGCCTCAGGCCAGGAATCTGAGAGGTCTGGAGGGAAGGAGCAGGACTTGAGAAGTGCTGTGAAGTGGATGGAAAGAGGGGAGTACAGTCAGCAGTCACAGCATTGGCTGAGGCATAGAGCCTGGAGGAATTGCAGAGATCAAAGGGCTCCAGGGTAGTAGGGGTGGGGTCAGAAAAGGGAGTTGCCAGGTGGTTCCACAAGCACTGAACATGTTCTCCATGTCCAGTGAAGAGTAGACCTGGAAGCTAAAGCAATGAGTGAGACAGAGGCCTGCCAGCTAGGCTCATAGGGAGAGATTCATCCCGATTCCTATAGACATGGTGGTACAGTCTGGAAGTCCCCAGGTGAAAAGTCTGGACCATGGGCTGCAACACTGGAGCCCCAGTACGCTTTTGGCAGAGCAAGAGGCTTAGACAGGAGTAGGAATTGTGCTGTGGAGCTAGAGAGGCCAGGAGCTCAAATCTCAGCTCAGCCACATTCTACGTGTAAAGCCCTAGATAAGCTATGGCACCATGAGAACCTCCGTCTTCCTCCAGCAGGGGAGAGAAGTCACATGATCTCTTAGCCTCATCAGGAGGCCTTGGTGAGATGGTGCAGGTGATGGTGCCAAGTACCTAGGAGCAACATATGAGTGTCATAAGAGAGCCGGCTCCTGAGGCTCAGGCCACTGGGACAGCAATTTGGGCCAGTGTACCTACCCTCCCAGCGCTAGTGGCCACAGCTCCCTGCTTCTTCCCATACAGTGGCGGCATGGTGCTCCTAAAAGTGAAGGCAAAGGTCCGACGGTACCTACGGGAGCGAAGGACCATACCCATGATGTTTTCCTCGATGGTACGGCGCCACCCAGACAAGACAGCCCTCATCTTCGAGGGTACAGATACTCACTGGACCTTCCGCCAGCTAGATGACTATTCTAGTAGCGTAGCCAACTTCCTGCAGGCCCGTGGCCTGGCCTCGGGTGATGTGGCTGCTCTCTTCATGGAGAATCGCAATGAGTTTGTGGGCCTCTGGCTGGGCATGGCCAAGCTGGGTGTGGAGGCGGCCCTCATCAATACCAACCTCCGGCGCGATGCCCTGCGTCACTGTCTCAACACTTCCAAGGCAAAGGCCCTTATCTTTGGCATCGAGATGGCACCAGGTGAGTCCCAGGTGGTGAGGCTAATAGGCCAGGAGTCAGAGATTCTGGGCGCAGTCAGGAAAGCAGAGTTTCTGAGTTTGCAAGGTAGCGGAGCTGCTGGCCCTCAGAGGTGATGGTGGCCATGCCCATGACTAGCTAGCCTCATTCACCTCCTCTCTGCAAGGGGAACAAGCATTTGCACCCCGTGCTTCTTGCAGAGCTTGTGTTTAGTTTGTTGCTGCATTGGTCACTGAAAATGCTATGTGCGCTGTTTTATAAGAGTGGCTCTGATCTTCACAAAGACCAGCAGGGTTTATGGATGATGCGTTGTTTAAAGGGGTGTGAGGAACTCACCTAAGGTCAGACAGCAGAATTTGATATTGGGCTTCACGACAGTGTTCCTGTTCTTTCTCACCACACTATGAGGGTGCAGCAAGGAGAGGGAAGGGAGTTGGATGAATCAAGATGAGAAGCTAGGGGTGTGGCTCAGTTGTAGAGCACTTGCCTAACATGTTTGAGGCCTTGGGTTCAAGAAAAAAAGCCAGAGGAAGTGGAACTGAAGGGCTAGGACTGCCCAGTGCCCAGGGTGGGTGAGTGAATATGTGTATGGCCTCAGGGCAGCCTGAGAGAAGATTCTTATTCTGAAGAGAATGATGGGGGGCTCTGACACACACCCCTGGCCTCTAACTAGTACCCTGCCGAGCAGTGTAGTGCAGTGAGTTAGAATTCAGACCTTGGTATGAGATAAAGCCATCCTTCTCATCCTTATCACCTCAGTGTCTTCATCTATAGAATGGGCTATGGTTGCTCCTACTTCCCAGGGCTGTGAGAGCAGGAAAGTGCCTGTAAAGAGTCTACTGGGAGGTTAAGCTGCACCCCTTGCAGCCATCAAGCTGCTTTGTCCATCTCTGACCTGATCTGCCCATTTCCTCTGACAACATGGTCAGCTTGTCGTGAGAGAAGATCCCAGGAACACAGAGCTTCCTGTCTCTCTTGCAGCGGTCTGTGAGATCCATGACAGTCTGGACTCCTCACTAAGCCTCCTGTGCTCCGGGCCCTGGGATCCCAGCACAGTGCCTGCCAGCACAGAGCACCTGGACCCTCTGCTGGAGGACGCCCCCAAGCACCTGCCAAGTCTCCCTGACAAGGGCTTCACAGGTGGGCCCTCTTCCCCCACAACACTCTAAGATGGACTAGATCAAGCCCTGCCCTCAGGGCCAGAAGACCTGGATCTCTCTGGAAACCTGACCTGTGCCTTAAATAAGAAACTATGGGTTGCTGGAGTGATTGGTGAAGCAAAATGACCTGATGTGTATAAAAATGCCAGGGAGAGCTGAGAATGTGGCCTAGTGGTAGAGTGCTAGCCTTGATCAAAAGGGACAGTGCCTAGGCCCCCAGTTCAAGCCCCAGGACTGGCAAAAAAAAAAAAAAAGTGCCAGGACCAACTAGCCACACAAAAGTTCTGAGTGGTGGAGCAGCCTTGCTCATGCTCAGGTACCTCGTCCCCATTGAGGTGATTCGTGTCTGGTGCAGGATCTTTCGGGTTCCCAGCCATAATCTACCTGAGCTGCTTCTAACGCCTCCTCCAGGCAGCCTTCTCACCCACCCTCCCTCTGCACTCCAGCCTGTCCAGTCCTTCAGCTCTTTGGCTCTTTCTATCTTTCCTTGCGAAGCCACCAGCCTGCTCTATTGCCTAGTGGCCCAGTGCTTGGACTGTTGAGCCACAGCTGAGCCCTTAGTCTGGCTCTGCTGCTTCCCTGTGTGACCACAGACACCCACCCAGCCCTGTGGGCCTTACATCCCATGGCCATAAAATTTGGGGATAGCAACAGATCCTGCTTTATGAGTTGACTTTGAAAATACTGGGCGCTGGTAGCTCACGCCTGTAATCCTAGTTGTTCAGGAGGCTGAGATCTGAAGACAGAGGTTCAAAGCTAGCCCAGGCAGGAAAGTCCTGTGAGACTCTTATCTCCAATTAACCACCAGAAAACCAGAGGTGGTATTGTGGCTGAAAGTGATAGAGCACTTGCCTTGAGCTGAAAAGCTCAGGGACAGTGCCCAAGCCCAGAGCTCATGCCCAGAGTTCAAGCCCTGCGACCAACACACACATGCACATACACAAAAGAATAGAAAAAGAAAAGTACATATGGCCAAGTCCTGACACTGGGGCATGGCAGGCAGAGCTGTCAGTGGTCAATCCTCCTCCTCATTGTCCTTTTTTTTTTTTGGCCCGATCGAGGGGCCTGAACTCTGGGCCTGGGCGCTGTCCCTCAGCTTTTCAGCTCAAGGCTAGCACTCTACCACTTGAGCCGCAGCACCACTTCCGGCTTTTTTCTTTTTGCTTATATGGTGCTGAGGAATCGAACCCAGGGCCTCATGCATGCAAAACAAGCGCTCTACCACTGAGCCATCTTCCCAGCCCCTCATCATTGTCTTATTTCCTGAGTACTTTGTATAAGCTGTTGGAGGGCGGGGCTGTGGCTGGCTCACTCTGGTGCTCTTATGTACCCCTAGGCTGGCACATTATAGGCACAGAACCTGGGGTGGTTGTTATAAATGGGAGTCATGCCATGGAGTCCTGACCTCCAGGAACCCCTGGCCTGGTAGGGCTGCTGGAAGCCCACTAGTGCTACCTTTCCTCCCATAGGCCTGGGAAGAAGTGGCACTGCTAGATTTAATCAGGTCCTATGCTCCTACGCGTGGTGCTCAGTGTCAGAAGGGCCTGTATCCTCATGTCACTGTCCCACTCAGCGGAGACCTTTGAGAGGACCAGTCCTGTGTGCCTCCCAGCCACAGCTCCCTGCTGGGTCCAGCACAGGGTGAGGCCCAGGAAACGTTTGTAGAAGGTGTTAAAGCAGAGTGCAGTCAGTGGCCATCAGAGTAGACTTCCTGGAAGAGGCAGTCTCCCCCTGCCTGGCCCTGTGCTGTGCCCCTTTCCCAGTTGCCCCTGTGTCTGTTTTCTTCAGATACACTCTTCTACATCTACACGTCAGGCACCACGGGGCTACCCAAAGCTGCCATCGTTGTGCACAGCAGGTGAGGGGCCGGTGCCCAGAGGGGAGAGGGAGCTTCCTGCTGCATTCCAGGGGAGAGGGAGCTTCCTGCTGTGTTCCAGGGGAGAGGGAGCTTCCTGCTGCGTTCCAGGGGGCCCACCGTGCTCTTTGTCCTGTCCCCTCAGGTATTACCGCATGGCTGCCCTGGTGTACTACGGATTCCGCATGCGACCTGACGACATTGTCTATGACTGCCTCCCTCTCTACCACTCAGCAGGTGATTCCGCATCTCAGCCCCTTAGGACCCCATCCTTCTGGTTTGACAGAAAGTGACCATTGACTCCATCTTGTCCACTGAAGATGATCACATCTTATCCCAAGGGGCCCCTGGGCTGGCACACAGTTGGCTCCCACTGGTGTGCAGGGCATTACTGCTTGGTTGTAGGGACTTGAGGGAGAGCCTGAGTGAGTAAAGCTCCTGTCCTCAGGGTGCTTCAGGGAAGTGTATGTGTTTAGGACAAGGTAGACAGCAGGAGCCTTGATGCTAAGGAGAGATGGTGAGGTGAGTGTGTCGGAGGGGCAGCATGCGTGTGGCACACAGGAGGAGCCAGGGATGTGGGCCTGGAAGACATCATCCTGGAGGAAGCAGGTGTGAGGTGCTAAAATCAGGCAGGTAGCTTAGTCCTGGGAGGTGAATAGCAGCTTCATGGGCTGAGGGCTAGCTCCAGAGTCCTGCCCCCAGCAGGGAATAAGCCAAGATGTGTGCTTGATGCACTGAATTGGGGTGAGGTAGGATTGGTCTGTGTAGGCCGAACAAGACAGGAGGAAGAAGCAGGCCTAGGTAAAAGGGGTCTTGGGGGCTAGGTCTCCTTGACCTCCAGGCCTTCTGCCTCCAGGAAATATCGTGGGAGTCGGCCAGTGCCTGATCCATGGCATGACGGTGGTGATCCGGAAGAAGTTCTCAGCATCCCGGTTCTGGGACGATTGTATCAAGTACAACTGCACAGTGAGTGAGAAGGGAAAGGCATGAAGAACACCTCCCCTCACCACCCCTCTGCGGCTTGTGTCATACAGCTGAGGTGGTTCTGCGGGGTTCCTTGGGTGATGTTCCTCCTTTTCAGATGAAGACACTGAGGCCCAGAGATAGAAGGGAAGCACAGCTAGCCCTTGTGGAGGGAAGGGCTGGAGGGGTGGGGAGGCAGGGCAGCGTGGCGCCCTAGGAGCCGGACCCACACTATACCCACCTCAGATTGTGCAGTACATTGGCGAGCTGTGCCGCTACCTCCTCAACCAACCAACCCGGGAGGCAGAGACCCAGCACCGAGTACGCATGGCACTGGGCAACGGCCTCCGGCAGTCTATCTGGACAGATTTCTCCAGCCGCTTCCACATTCCCCAGGTGGCCGAATTCTATGGGGCCACTGAGTGCAACTGCAGCCTGGGCAACTTTGACAGCCAGGTACAGTCCAGGTGGGAGGTGGCATGCTTGCCATGGGGATGGGATCACAGAAGGCCTGGGCATCAGGGGTAAGGGCACTGCCTGCCTTCTAGTATTGAAAGTTTGGTTACCAGTCTCCCTTCAACCCCATTGTTCTGTCTGGGGCCCATGGAGCCCAGCCCAAGTGTTGGCCTTCACAGGTGGGGGCCTGTGGCTTCAACAGCCGCATCCTGTCCTTCGTGTACCCCATCCGGCTTGTACGTGTCAATGAGGACACCATGGAGCTGATCCGGGGCCCCGATGGCGTCTGCATTCCCTGCCAGCCAGGTGTGCTCAGGGTGGGGATTGGAGGGGGAGGTGTTGGCCAGAGAGGGGGTCAGCCAGTGTGAATACATGAGGAGTCCATTTTTGTTTGTTTGCTTTTGTTTTTTGCTGCTAGTCCTGGGGCTTCAGCTTAGGGCTTAAGTGCTATCCCTGAGCTTCTTTTGCCAAGGCTAGTTAGTGCTCTACCACTTGAGCCACAGCTCCACTTCTGGATTTTTCATAGTTTATTGGAGATTTGAATCTCACAGACTTTCCTGCCCAAGCTGGCTTCAAACCTTAATCTTCAGATCTCAGTCTCCTGAGTAGCTAGGATTATAAGCATGAGCCACTGGCGCCCAGTGACAAGCCTGTTCTAACTTTTTGTCATTAGTCAACTCTTGACTAGGACCACAAATTGCTCATTTCCTTGTCTATCCATTCATTCACTCACCATCCCATCCATGCGTCAATCCATTCATTCTTTTACCACTGACCAGGGGGCCTGAGACCTGGCCATCTGAGATTGCTCTGGTTTTCCCCTTAGCCCTGTACTTTAGCTGAGTTGGGCTTTGGTGCTGCAACCCCTAATCGGCAGGCAGGGTTGGGGACACCACCTACCTTGTTGGATTGATCTGAGGATTGTGTGGTAAAGAACATGAAGCTTTTGGAGTGGAGCCAGTATGAGCAGGAACCCCATGGTGCTGGCTGTTTTGTCTGTCTAATGGAGCTGTACGTGTTTGCTACCTATTCACTTTCACAGCAGTTCAATAGATACATGTCACTGAGGGCCAACTTGCCAAGATGAGCTTCCTGCCCTTGAGCTCCTTCCTTCCTCTCTCCCTTTCTCTTTCCTTCTTTCTTTCCTTCTCTCCTTCCTTCCCTCTTTTCTTTCTTTCTCCTTTTCTTCCCTTTTTTTTTGTGGGTAATGGGGCTTGAACTCAGGGCCTGGGAGCTGTCCCTGAACTCTTTTGCTTAGGGCTAATGCTCTGCCACTTTGAGCCAGAACCACTTCCGGTTTTCTAGGTGGTTATTCGGAGATTCCTGTCTGGGCTAGCTTTGAACCACGATCCTGACATCTCAGCCTACTGAATAGGATTACAGCCATGAGCCACTGGTGCCCCGCTCTTTCTTTCTTGTGTTGGAAATTGAATCTCCCAGAAATGGGTGTTTCTGTGGTAGACAGTATAAGTCAAGTCAGGTTAGCATATATCAGGTGAGGACAGGTGGCAGAGGCTGCACAGGGCAAGTCTGACTGTGCTTTCCCCACCCCAGGTCAGCCAGGCCAGCTGGTAGGCCGCATCATTCAGCAAGACCCATTGCGCCGCTTTGATGGCTACCTCAACCAAGGTGCCAACAACAAGAAGATTGCTAAGGATGTCTTCAAGAGGGGGGACCAAGCCTACCTCACCGGTGGGTGCCCAACATTTGGCTACCCCTTTCCAGAGTAGGCTGGGAGGGATAAAAGGACCTTCTAATACCATCAGCAAATACATACGCAGGACTTCTCTGGTCCATGCCCATGGGCCAAGAGCCTGGCTGGCCCAGGTCCTGCCTCACCCACCCCTTCCTAGGTGATGTGCTGGTGATGGATGAGCTGGGCTACTTGTACTTCCGAGACCGCACGGGGGACACATTCCGATGGAAAGGCGAGAACGTATCCACCACCGAGGTGGAGGGTATTCTCAGCCGCCTGCTGGACATGGCTGACGTGGCAGTGTATGGGGTTGAGGTCCCAGGTATGTGTGGAAAAGGGGAGCTACATGTGGAAAGGCACTGCCCACTGCTCACTCTCTGCCCTTCTTCCCCCAGGAACTGAGGGCCGGGCAGGAATGGCTGCTGTGGCCAGTTCTGCAGACAGCTGTGACCTACAGCGCTTTTCACAGGCCTTGAGGAAGGAGCTCCCCCTGTATGCCCGTCCTATCTTCCTCCGCTTCCTGCCTGAACTGCACAAAACAGGTGTGCCCCTCCCCTGCTCCTGCAGCTGAGTTCCGGCTGGTCTTTCCTGTACCTGCAAACTGGGTGGCTCTTGCGTGGCCTTTGTACACAACCTTGCTGGGTAATTGAGAAACTTCCTTCAAAGAGGACAGGTCATCACTACTAGTGGAGCTATTGCTTGAGTGCCTGGCACTGCACTAGGCCTTGAGGACATGCGTCTAACCTGACCTTTGCCCTCTTGGAGCTTTTAGAACCAGAAGGGAGGGAGCTGTAGGATAAGGAATTCCAAAGATTTGGAATGACTATCAGGTTAGAGAAAAAAAAAAAAAAAAACCTGAGTAACAGTATCCTAGTGACTCAAGGGGATGAGATTTGAAGATTGTGGTTTGAAGCCAGCACAGACAGAAATGTACTTGAGACTATCTCCAGTTAACCACCAAAAAAGTCGGAAGTAGAGGTATGGCATCCGCCATGAGCAAAGGCCCTGATATCAAGCCCCAGTACTAACACAAATGAATTTTGTTGTTGTTGTAGTTGGTCGTGAGGCTTGACTCTGGACCTGGGCAATGTCCCTGAGCACTTTAGCTCAAGGCTAGCTCTCTACCACTTGAGCCACAGCACCACTTCCAGTGGAGATAAGAGTCTCACAGGCTGGGATTGTGGCTTAGTGGTAGAGTGCTTGCCTAGCATGCATGAAGCCCTAGGTTCAATTCCTCAGTACCACATACACAGAAAAAGCCAGAAGTGACACTGGCTCAAATGTAGAGTGCTAGCCTTGAGTAAAGTAAGCTTAGGAACAGTGCTAAGGCCCAGAGTTCAAGCCCCAGGACTGGCAAAAAAAAAAAGAGTTTCATGGACTTTCCTACCTGGGCTGGCTTTGAACCGTGATCCTCAGATCTCAGCCTTCTGAGTATCTAGGATTACAGGCGTGAGCCACCAGTGCCTGGCTTGTAAAAGAATTCTAACTGATGCCGGGCGCTGGTGGCTCACGCCTGTAATCCTAGCTACTCAGGAGGCTGAGATCTGAGGATCGCAGTTCAAAGCCAGCCCGGGCAGGAGAGACCGTGAGACTCCTATCTCCAATAAACCACCAGAAAACCGGAAGTGGCCCAGATGGCTCAGTGGTAGAGTGCTTGCCTTGCATGCATGAGGCCCTGGGTTCGATTCCTCAGCACCACATAAGCAGAACAAGCAGGAAGTGGTGCTGTGGCTCAAATGGTAGAGTGCTAGCCTTAGGCTGAAGAGCTGAGGGACAGTGCCCAGGCCCTGAGTTCAGGCCCTATGACCAGCAAAAAAAAAAAAAGTATCATAGACTTTCCTGCCTAGGCTGGTTTTGAACCACAGTCCTCATATCTCTGCCTCCTTAGTAGCTAGGATTATAGGCATGAGCTATCAGCGCCTTGCTGCAGTCTGAGTTCTTAACCTATGATGCCCTACAAATTTCTATTTAGAAACTTTCATTCTCCTATCTCACCATACTTGCCTTGAAAGAATATCACCTCAGATAGCCCAGTCTGGCCTCAAACTCGTGATCCGCCTGCCTCAGCCTCCAGAGTAGCTTTGATTATGGGTGTACATCAACATTTTTTTTTTTTTGGTCGGTCATGGGGCTTGAACTCTGGGCCTGAACGCTGTCCCTCAGCTCTTCAGCTCAAGGCTAGTGCTCTACAACTTGAGCTACAGTGCCACTTCCGGTTTTCTGGTAGTTTATTGGAGATTAGAGTTTCATGGACTTTCCTGCCCCGGTTGGCTTTGAACCTCGATCCTCAGATCTCAGCCTCCTGAGTAGCTACGATTACAGGCGTGAGCCACCAGCACCTGGCTCATCATGTTATACTTTTGGGAACAGCACTGTCCATGGATGGTTACTTGGTCAATGCATTGTCATTTACTCAAATACCCCACCTCAGAGAGGCCTTCCTTTACCACCCCATCAGAGAGGCAGCATACAGGAGTTCGATACTTCACTGTCAAACAAGTAGTCAGGCCCAAGTCAGCACCTTGCAATAAGCCTGAAAGTAGTAAATAACCTTAGCTTTTTGTTTTTGTGTTTTTTGTGTCATGTGGCTTGAATTCAGGGCCTGGGCACTGTCCCTGAGTTCTTTTTGCTCAAGACAATGCTTTACCACTTTAAGCCACAGCTCTACTTCCACTTTTCTGGTGGTTTATTAGAGATAAGAGTCTCATGAACTTTCCTGCTGGGGCTGGTTTTGAACCATGATCCTCAGATGTCAGTCTCCTGAGTAGCTAGGATTACAGGTGTGAGTCACCAGACCCCTGCCAGACCTTTAACTTTTTGGGCTCCTGGGGATGCCCCAAGACTGAGGGCTAGCCTTTCCTGGAATGAACAGGTCTTAATTTCTCTCCTGCAGCCCAGAGAAAGCCCCTTTTCCCTCTGCTTGATAAAAACAAAAAAACATAGGTAGTGTGCTGGGGAGTGTAGCCTTGTGGTAGAGCACTTCCCTAGAATGCCCAAGGTCCTCGGTCCAATCCCAGCACCACAGAACAAACATGTAAATATTTAATGACAAAACAGTATTTGGGTACCTGGCCCACACCACTAGCTCTGCTCCCTTGTAATAGTGTTATCACCATGTGCGCCGCCTGTTTCCCCAGCTGTAAAATGAGACAAGTAGCCGGGCACTGGTGGCTCACGCCTGTAATCCTAGCTACTCAGGAGGCTGAGATCTGAGGATCGAGGTTCAAAGCCAGCCCGGGCAGGAGAGACCATGAGACTCCTATCTCCAATAAACCACCAGAAAACCGGAAGTGGCGCTGTAGCTCAAGTGGTAGAGGGCTCACCTTGAGCTGAAGAGCTGAGGGACAGCGCCCAGGCCCAGAGTTCAAGCCCCACGACTGACAAAAAAAAAAAAGAATTCTAACTGAATGAAGGAGCCAGGTACTGGTGACTCAAGCCCATAATCCCAGCTACTCAAGAGGCTGAGGATCATGATTAGAAGCTAGTCCAGGCAGGAAAGTGCAATGAGACTCTCATCTCCAATTAAAAAAGGCAGAGGTGGAGCTATGGCTCAAGTAGTAGAACACCAGCCTTGAAATTATAAAAAAAAAAAAAAAACAACAACTCAGGACAGCACCTAGGCCCTGAGTTCGAGCCCCAGGACCAACACACATACACACACACACACACACACACACACACACACACTGAAGGAGGTAGCATTTGGGATGAATGTAAGTCTACACACACACACACAGGACCAACACACACACAGAGTGAATGAAGGAGGTAGCATTTGGGATGAATGTAAGTCTACACACACACACACAGTGAATGAAGGAGGTAGCGCCAGGACCAACACATACACAGAGTGAATGAAGGAGGTAGCATTTGGGATGAATGTAAGTCTCCCCGAGGAAGTATCAGCTGAGACCTGAATGAGGAAGGCTCGTGTCACTGTGGGAGATAATCCGGGCTATAGAAACAGCAAATGTGGGCTGGGAAGGTGGCTCAGTGGTAGAGCGCTTGCCTTGCATGCATGAGGCCCTGGGTGTGATTCTTCAGCACCACATAAGCAAAAAGAAAAAAGCCGGAAGAGGCACTGTGGCTCAAGTGGTAGAGCGCTAGCCTTGAGCTGAAGAGCTGAGGGACAGCGCCCAGGCCCAGAGTTCAGGCCCTACGACCGGACCCAAAAAAAAAAAAACAGCAAATGTGAAATCCCTGAGAAAGGAAGGAATTCCAGCTTTAAAGGAATGAAGGAGCTGGGTGGCTCACATGTGTAATCCTAGCTACTCAGGAGATCTGAGGATCTGAGGATCATGGTTCAAAGCCAGCCCAGGCAGGAAAGGCCATGAGACTTATCTCCAATAAACCACTAGAAAACTGGAAGTGGCGCTGTGGCTCAAGCCGTACTCGCCTTGAGCTAAAAAGTGCAGGGACAGAGCTCAAGCCCAGAGTTCAAGCCCCACAACCCAATAAAAATTAAAAAAGGAGTGAAGGAGGCCCCCAGAGGTAGAGTGCTTACCTAGCATTCACAAGACCTCTTGGTTTAAACCTCCGTGCCACAATCAACAAAGAAAAAGAGTAGAGCACCAGTGACTCACATCTACAGTCCTATCAACTCAGGAGGCTGAGATCACAGGATCATGATTCCAAGCTAGCCTGAGCAGGAAAAGTTTGGGAGGGCTGAGAATGTGTCTTAGTGGTAGAGTGCTTGCCTTGCATGCATGAAGCCCTGGATTCCATTCCTCAGTAGCACGTTAACAGAAAAGGCCAGAAGTGGCACTGTGACTCAAGTGGTAGAGCACTAGCCTTGAGCACAAAGAGGCTCAGGGATAATATCCAGGCCCTGAATTCAAGCCCAGGACTGGCAAAAAAAGAAAAAAAAAAAAGTAAGTTTGAGAAACTCTCATTTCTAGTTAACTACCAAAAAGAACGAAATGAAGGTGTGACTCACATAGTAGAGAGCCATCCTTGAGTGAAAAAGTCAAATGGGGGCTCAAAGCCCTGAGTTCAAGCCCCAGTACTGTCCATCACAAAAATAGAGTTAGGAAGGGAGGGAAGAAGGAATAGGGGCACATACACAAATGCTTTGCCAGGTGCAGGTGGCTCATGCCTATAATCCTAGCTGCTCAAGAGACTGAGATCTGAGGAGCTTGTTCAAAGCCAACCCAGTCTGTGAGATTCTTATCTCCAGTTAACCACCAGAAAACCAGAAGTAGAGCTGTGGCTCAAAATGGGAGTGCTCTAGCCTTGAGCGCAAAAGCTCAGGGACAGCACCCAGGCCCTAAATTCAAGCACTTGGCCAGCATAAAAATAAAAAGACCCCCAAAGCTGGAGGCTTGGGGAGCACCAGCCAGCAGTGGCATAAGATAGGGCCTGAAGTCCAAGACTTTGTGCACTAGAGTGTCAGTTGGAACTGTCCTGGGGAGGTAGGGAGCAGCAGAAGTGTTCGAGCAGGGTAGTAACCAGATTGGGTCCTGCAGAAGTCTCTAGTTGCTGAGTGAGGAGTGGGCAAGGACTGCATGTGGCACAGGGGGTCTGGGTAGATGAGGGAAGGCTGTCATAGCTGTCCAAGCAAATGATGAGCTGAGGGCCAATGTCCACACAGTGGGGCACTGCCAACCTTCTGTTGGTTCAGCGATGGTTCTCTGGAGTTCCCTGAGAGGCACAAGGTGCAGAGGCTTATGCCCAGACCACCATGATCCCCATGTCCTTTCCTGACTTTCAGTTACTCATTCTCCCCTGCACTGATCCCCACCCCATGTCATTTCTGCCTTGCTAACAGGCTTTCTCCTGTCGATGTGCCTCTGTCAGATAGTGAGCGCCTGGACCTCATGAAGGCTGTGCCACTGTGGAGGACCCGGGTGCAGTGCAGCCAGGCAGGGACGCAGGGTCAGGCCCGTGACTGAGAGTTCAAGCTACTGATGGTGGGAACCCATGACTTTTGTCCAAGAGAGGCAAAGGCTGATGTCTCGATTCCAGGCACTTTTCTACAGAATACATGGCCATAGCCCAACGGACTTCAGATACTTTGGGCTTCAGACACTTTGTGGCACATGGTTCTGTAGCTCAGCAATTTTAGGGCTAAGTTCAGCTCAAAGAGCTGCCATCACTTAGTGACTTGCCATGTTCGTTCTTGGCTGGTCCCTTTTACAGCCCTGTCCAATAGAACCTTCCTTGGGAACGGACGTGTCCAGACTCTCAGCTGTCCAGTTCAGTAGCTATGAGTCCTGCACAGATATCAAGCACTTAAAACGTGGCTAATGTGACTGACAAACTCAAATCTGAACTTTCTTCAATTTCAAATAGCCACAGATGTTCAGCACCAGGCCAGGGCCTCACTGGGAAGAAATGGTTATCTCTGCTCCTGTGGTTTCTCCCTCCCGAGTCTAGACTGGGCTCAGGTGCCCTGCAAGGCAGTGATGGAAGCAGTAAGGCCCCTTGAGGCCAAGATCCACTCAGAAGTCCTGTAACCTTGCTTCTGCAGGATTCTGTTGGTCAATGCTAGTCAGTGGCCTGTCCAGATTTAGGAGGCTCCCCCCGGGAGAACTGGTAAAGCACAGCGCAGCAGCAAGGGGTCACAGGACAGGGAGGACTGTGTTTAAATTCCCCCTCTACCATTTACTAGCTGGTTGCTTGCTTCCTTTAGCACCAGTATTCTCTCTAATGACGCTGATACCAGCCATTGATTGAATGATACATAGCTTACTTTATATACAAAGTGACTACTGGGCTGGGAAGGTGGCTCAGTGGTAGAGCGCTTGCCTTGCATGTATGACGCCCTGGGTTTGATTCCTCAGCACCATATAAGCAGAAAAAGCCAGAAGTGGTGCTGTGGTTCAAGTGGTAGAGCACTAGCCGTGAGCTGAAGAGCTGAGGGACAGCGCCTAATCAAACTCACCTCCTCTGTCACGCTCCCTTAACCCTCCTCCCACTTCTTAAGCCAATTTCAATATATTTCATTTTTCTGTCTTTTTTTTCCTGTTGTGTCAGTCCTAAGGCTTGAACTCAGAGCCTGGGTACTATCCTTTAGCTTTTTTGCTCAAGACTAGTACTCTACTGCTTGAGCAACAATTCTACTTTGGGCTTTTTGCTGTTTAATTGGAGAAAGGAATCTCACAGATTTTCCTTTCTAGGCTAGCATCAAACTACAATCCTCAAATTTTAGCCTTCTGAGTAGGTAGGTAGGTTATAGGTGTGAGTCACTGGCGCCCAGCTTCATTTTCTATATATAACATGATTATATATGTATATGTATATATACATATATATACACACATATATATAACATGTACACACCAATGAGTATGTAAGTCTTTTAGGTCTAGCTTCCACAAATGAATGAAAACTCCCAAATTCGGGTCTTTGAGATTGGCTTGTCAATATGATATTCTCCAATTACACCCATTTTCCTGCAAATGACGATTTCAGTTTTATTTATGGCTGTGTAATATTCCATAGAGTACTTGTATTTATATGTACATATACATACATATGTATATGTGTGTGTGTGTCACATCTTTATCACATCTGTTGTTGGATACAGCTGTCTACATTCTTGCCAGCATTGTTTTCTTTTTTTCCTTTCTGATACCAGGGCTTGAACTTAAGTTGTTGGCTTGCATGTTTACAGCTACCATTTGAGCATTGTCTCCACCCAAATTGTTTGTTTTCCTTATGGCTGCCATTCTGACTGGGGTGAAAGGGAATCTTAGTGTGACTTTGATTTGCATTTCCTTTATGGCTAAGAACATATCTATTGGGCATCTGTTCTTATAGGAATTGTTCAATTTGTTTGTTCATTTATTAACTGGTTTACGTTTTCATTTATTTGTTTGTTTTACCAGTCCTGGGGCTTGAACTCAGGGCCTGGGCACTATCCCTGGGCTTCTTTTGCTCAAGGCTAGCATTCTACCACTTGAGCCACAGCGCCACTTCTGGCTTTTTCTGTTTATGTAGTACTAAGGAATTGAACCCAGGGCTTCATGCATGCTAGGCAACTACTAAGCCACATTCCCAGTCCCTTGCTTGTTCTTTCGCTGTTTAATTTTTTGAGCTTTTAGTATAAATGTGTGTGTGTGTGTATGTGTGTGTGTTGGTTCTAGGACTTGAACTCAGGTCCTGGGCCCTGTCCCTAAGCCTATTTTTCTCAAGGCTAACACATTGCCACTTAAGCTGTAGCTTTACTTCCAGCTTTTTGATAGTTTATTAGAGATAAGAGTCTCCTGGGCAAGCTGGGTGCTGGTGGCTCACACCTATAATCCTAGCTATTCAGGAGGGTGAGATCTGAGGATCATGGTTCAAAGCCAGCCTGAGCAGGAAAGGCCATGGGACTCTTTGTTTTTGTTTTGTTTTGTTTTTTGTTTTTTTTTTTGGGTCCGGTCATGGGGCCTGAACTCTGGGCCTGGGCGCTGTCCCTCAGCTCTTCAGCTCAAGGCTAGCGCTCTACCACTTGAGCCACAGCGCCACTTCTGGCTTTTTGCTTATGTGGTGCTGAGGAATCAAACCCAGGGCCTCAGACATGCAAGGCAAGCACTCTACCACCTTCCCAGCCCTCCATGGGACTCTTATCTCCAATGAACCACCAGAAAACCAGAAGTGGCACTGTGGTTCAAGTGGTAGAGCTCTGGCCTTGAGCTGAAGAGCTGAGGGACAACACCCAGGCCCAGAGTTCAAGCCCCACAACCAACAACAACAACAACAACAAAAATCACTGGCTGGCTTTGAATCGTGATCCTCAGATCTCAGCCTCTCCTAAGTAGCTAAGAAAACAGGCATGAGCCACTGTTATCTGGACTCTTTGTATATTTTACATATTAATACTTTATCTGTTGAATAGCTAGTGAAGATTTTCTCCCATCCATCATTCTATACATTGTCTTTTGATTCTGGTCATTGTTTCTTTTGCTACGTAGAAACCTTTTGATTTAGTCAGTCCCATTTGTCAATTATCATCCTTATTTTCTGTACAGTTGGAGTTCTGTTCACAAAATAATTACCTGTGTCTGTATCGGTAGGGTTTGTTTTTTTTTTTTTTGTCAGTCATGGGCCTGGGTGCTATCCCTTAGCTATTGAGCTCAAGGCGAGCACTCTACCACTTGAGCCACAGCACCACTTCCAGTTTTCTGGTGGTTCACTGGAGATAAGAGTCTCGTGGATGTTCCTACCCAGGTTGGCTTTGAACTTCAATCTTTAGATCTCAGCCTCCTGAGTAACTAGGATTTTTGTTCTTACCTTTTTTCTTTTGTTCTTACCTTTCTTTGATTCATTTGGATCAGACTTAGGTATAGGGAAAGAGCTGAGAATAATGTTTCCATTTTCCTACAAGATTGAACACCTAGGGCTGGGAAGATGGCTCAGTGGTAGAGCGCTTGTCTTGCATTCATGAAGCCAAGGGTTCAATTTCTCAGCACCACATAAGCAGAAAAAGCCGAAAGTAGTGCTGTGGCTCAAGTGGTAGAGTGCTAGCCTTGAGCTAAAGAGCTCAGACTTCAAGCTCCACAACCGACCAAAAAAAAAGATTGAGCACCTACCTCAAGGAGTTGAGAAATAGCTGTATGCTGTAGATAGTCAAATAAATGAACCAGCCATGTACCTATAATCCTAACTAGTCAGGAGACTGAGATCTGAAGATTGCAGTTAAAAGTCAGCCTGGAGCCTGGCACCAGTGGCTCATGCTTGTAATCGTAACTACCCAGGAGGCTGAGATACAAGGATCACAGTTCAAAGCCTGCCCAGGCAGGAAAGTCCCCATAAGACTTCTATCTCCAATTAACTACCAGAAAACCAGAAGTGGCACTAGGGCTCAAAGTGGTAGAGTGCTAGACTTGAGCAAAAGAGCTCAGAGACAGCACCCAGGCCCAGAGTTCAAGCCCCACTACCAAAAAAAAGAAAAAAACTAGCCTCAGTAGGAAAGTCCATGAGACCAATAACTCACCAAAAAGCTGGAAATAGAGCTGTGGCTCAAGTGGTAGAGCACCAGCCTTGAGCATAAAATCTCAGGAACAGTACCCAGGCGCACGCGCGCGCACACACACACACGCGCACACACACACACACACACACACTGAATCATGGTAGTCAGAAGACCCAGGTCACCCAGGCATACACACACACACACACACTCTGAATCATGGTAGTCAGAACACACACACACACACACACTGAATCATGGTAGTCAGAACACACACACACAGACACACACACACACACACACTGAATCATGGTAGTCAGAAGACCCAGGTCACCCAGGTTGTGGCTTTCACTCAGCTGTCACTCAGTGAATGATGCTGGGCAGTTAGTGTCCCTTCTTCCCATCTCACTTTCCCTATCTATAAAGTTGGGGGGATGGGTAACACAGCTACCCCCATGTCTACCTCCTACCCCCTCTTGCTGGGGCTGCCCTGAGAAGCAGTTTAAAATGTGGAAGGAGTATGCTTTGAGGACTAGGCCCCCTCCTCCCACATTTCCCTTCTGCCCAGCCCTCCCCACTGCCCTTGCTTAACACCCAGGCGCCCTGCTCTGCCCTTTCTGAATCTTCTCCCTGCCCCCCCTCCAGGTACCTACAAGTTACAGAAGACAGAGCTGCGGAAGGAGGGCTTTGACCCCGCCGTGGTGAAAGACGCCCTGTTCTACCTGGATGCCCGGAAAGGCTGCTATGTCCCTCTGGACAGAGAGGCCTATACTCGCATCCAGGCAGGCGAGGAGAAACTGTGATCGGACCCCATGTCCCTCCGAGGCCCATCAGAGAGGCTGGGTCCATGGCTGCAGCTTCTACCTGAGAGGGGTTGTGGGTGATGCCAGACCAAAGCAAGCAGGGCCCGCACCTCCACCCCAAGGTGCTGACCACCTCCCTCCAAAACTGCCAAGTGACTCACTGCCACGTCCCCACCCTGCCAGGGGCTTTCCGTGAAAGCTTCCTCTTGTCCATGTTCTGTCTCCTGGGCCAGGCAGAGCCTTGGGGCCCCAGGCAGAGACTGACAAGCACCTTCAAGATGATGTCTTCGGTTAGGCAGGGCAGGGAGAGACAGAGGGTCACCAAGCTCCCTCCAAAGAGTAGGGAGCATGCAAAAAGGACCAAGGCAGAAGCCCCCAAACTCAGGAAGCCAACAGAGGGCAAGGATGGTGGTGGCCATCCCTCAAGTGGCCAGAGGATCCTGGCTGCCCAGCTACTAAAGTGGCATTCGACCCTCTGCCATCTCCAAGAGTGGAAGAGGAGGATGACCCAGCATGGCTGGAAGAGGAGGATGAGCCAGCATGGCTGCCCACGTCCCATCTTCAGCAGAAAGTCCAGACTGTGCCCTTGTCTCTGCACACTCCTGCATACTTGTCTCCCTGGGGTCTGCTTGGCTGTCCCCAAGGTGGGACACTTCTCTGTCACCTCCATCCTAGTCTTGGCCTGGCTATGAGAGGAGGAAGCGAGGGGGAGGGGGGAGGGGGGCAGACAATAAACTCTGCCTTGACTCCTCTTAGTCTGTGTGCCCTTCTGCCTGAGCCCACCCCGAGAGCCTCTAGTCTACCCTCAGCCTGCTCAGGCCCGGCCTCCTGCCTTTCTGACCCATTGGCTAATTTAGACTCAGGATAGGGCAGAGGTGGCATTGCCTCCCTTGCTCCATGCACTGCTAGCCTGGATGGGGACATTTCCCACTGAATCCTGACTCACAAGGTTTCCCACCAAACAAGGTTTCCCAGCTGTCTAGCTGGGCTCTGGTGGCTCATGCCTATAATCCTAGCTACTCAGGAAGCTGAGATCTGAGGATCCCAGTTCAAAGGTAGCCCAAGCAGGAAAGTCCGAGAGACTCTAATAAACCACTAGAAAACCGGAAGTGGCACTGTGGCAAGCAGTAGAGCACTCACCTTGAACTGAAGAGGCAGGGACAGTGCCCAAGCCCAGAGTTCAGGCCCCATGACCAACAACAACAACAAAAAAGCTGTGACTTAGAAGCTTTGGGCAAGTGACCAGTTAAGAGGCCTCAAGCCAGGTGCTGGTGGCTCATGCCTATAATCCTAGCTACTCAGGAGGCTGAGATTTGAGGATCTCAGTTCAAAGCCAGCCTGGGCAGGAAACTTATCTCCAAATAACCAATCAGAAAACCGGAAGTGGCACTGTGGCTCAAGTGGTAGAGCACTAGCCTTGAGCTGAAGAGCTGAGGGACAGTGCCCAGGCCCAGAGTTCAAGCCCTATGACCAAAAAAAAAAAAAAAGGACTCAGGCCAGGCTTTGTGACTCATGCTCAGCCTATAATTCTAGCTGTTCTGGGGGTCCTAATGTAGTAAGATCTCAGTCTGGGACCAACCCTGGGCAAGAATACAAGACCCTACTTGAAAAGGCAGGGGTGAGCAGGGGCTATCAAATGGTGGCAAGGTTCATCTAACCAAAGTAGGCACCTAGCAAGCACAAAGCCCAGAATTCAAACTCCAGTACCACCAAAAATGAGGATTTGGAAGCTACTGGGAGCCATACAAGGAAGGGGATGATGAAATTCTTTGAGGAGCAGCCCTCACCCCAGGCAGGTAGCCTTGTCTCCTTGTCTCTATGCTCTTGATCTGCTCCCAATCTGCAGGGCGTTTCCCCTTTTGTTTAGGGGCTGGACAGATCTGCCAGGGTGGGTGCCTGGAGGGCCAGAATGAGGCTGCTCAACCTGCCAGGGCAGCTCTGGGGTAGGCAGCAGCTGCAGTTGGCAGCATGGTGGAGAGCCGGCTGTCTCCTGGGCCGGATGGCTGGAGCTGGGATCAATGCAGTGGGAAGAGATCCCCACACAGCCCAGGGCAGTAGGCAGCATGTTCCTTGAAAATGGACTTGAAGAAAAGACCAGGAATGTGGAGATTTTTAGGCACTTGACCAAGGTCACACTAGTAATGGAGGCTGGAATGCAGGCTGAACCCCATGCCCTTCCCACTCTACCAGTGTCACATGGTACAGAAAGCAGCAGGGAGCCACGAGCTGCCATTCCACACATGCTTGAGAGCCTGGGCCACACCCTGAGCCAGCAGCTGACAGTTCAAGCTGTTAATGGCCAAGCAGAGCGATCTGAGGTATCTCCTGGTGGAGGAGCCTGTTAAAAATAGGGGAGCCTGATGCCTCTTGGGAAAATGAGCACCAGAGCTGGAGTGGAGGGCCCTTAACCAGATGTGAGGGAAACGGAGGGAGGCATGGCTGCTATGCTGGATGTGGCCAGCAGAGGGTGCGAGGAGCTTGGAGAATCCACCTCTGCCCTCAGTCAAGAGAGGTGGGAAGTAAGGGCTTGCCTGCAATCTCAGACTCAGAAGGCCTTTGAGAACCTTCAGTCAACCTTCAAGGACTTGAGGCACGGGTGGCAGAGAAGCTGTGTGTGTGTATGTGTGTGTATGTGTTGGCTTCAAATTGGGATCCTCAGATCTCAGCCTCCCCCTACTCCTAAAACCCTCAATTGTGTTTTCCCTACAATGGTAAAGGGCACCTAGAAGAAGGGGTTGGTTGATCAAGCACCAAAATGCATTTTGATGATGATGCCACGCTGGGGCTCTACAGGCTGAGCCCAACTACACTAAAGTTAAGCCTCGATGCCTTCCTGAAAATGGAGCTCAAAGAATCACTACCTTGGGATAAAATGTGCATCCAAATCTGTTCACATGGAGTCTGATTCTAGTATCTCAATGCATAGTTGTTATTTTTTGCTTTTGTTTTTGCCAGTCCTAGGGCTTGCACTCAGGGCCTGAGCGCTGTTTCTGAGCTTCTTTTGCTCAAGGCTAGCACTCTTGTGCCACAGCCTCACTTCCAGCCTTTTCTGTTATTGTGGTACTGAGGAATCAAACCCAGAGCGTCATGAATACTAGAGGCAAGCACTACCACTAAGCCACATTCCCAGGCCTGCACAGTAGTGGCTTTTTGTTGTTGTTGTTTGTTGTTCATGGGGCTTGAACTCTGGGCCTGGGCTGGGCCTGGGCACTGTTCCTCAGCTCTTCAGCTCAAGGCTAGTGCTCTACCACTTGAGCCACAGCGCCACTTCTGGTTTTCTGCTGGTTTATTGGAGATAAGAGTCTCACAGGCTGGGAAGGTGGCTTAGTGGTAGAGTGCTTGCCTTGCATGCATGAGGCTCTGGGTTCGATTCCTCTAGCACCACATAAGCAGAAAAAGCCAGAAGTGGTGCTGTGGCTCAAGTGGTAGAGCGCTAGCCTTGAGCTGAAGAACTGAGAGATAGCATCTCAGGCCCAGAGTTCAAGCCCCGAGACTGACAAAAAAAAATACAAAACAAAAAAAAGCCGGGTGCTGATGGCTCATACCTGTAATCCTAGCTACTCTGGAGGCTGAGATCTGAGGACCGCGGTTCAAAGCCAGCCCGGGCAGGAAAGACCGTGAGACTCCTATCTCCAATAAACCACCAGAAAACTGGAAGTGGCGCTGTAGCTCAAGTGGTAGAGTGCTTGCCTTGAGCTGAAGAGCTGAGGGACAGCGCCCAGGCCGAGTTCAAGCCCCAAGAACGACCAAAAAAAAAAAGCCAGACCAGGCAGGAAAGTCTGTGAGACTCTTATCTCCAATAAACCACTCAAAAACTGGAAGTGGCGCTGTGGCTAAAGCTGTAGAGCGCTTGCCTTGAGCTGAAGAGCACAGGGACAGCGCCCAAGCCCAGAGTTCAAGCCCCATGACCGACAAAACAAAAAAAGAGTCTCAGATTTTCCTGCCCAGGCTGGCTTTGAACTGCAATCCTCAGATCTTAGCCTTCTGGGTAGCTAGGATTACAGGTGTGAACCATCAGTGCCTGACTTGCACAGTAGTTTTAATGTATTGATTCATTCACTTTGTGTGTATGCATGTGCACACATACATCTGTCCAGGGGCGGCCCTGTCTCTTTACACTCAAGGCTTTTTACTCACCACTTGAGTCACAGCTTCATTTCACTTCTTTGCTGGTTAATTGGTGATGAATCTCATTACTTTATTGCCCTGCTGGCTTGGAACCTTGATCTTCAGATCTCAGCCTCCCGGATAGCTAGGTCACAGGCATGAGCCACTGGTGCCTAGCAGTAGATACCAATTTTTTTTTTTGTCCTGGGCCTTTGGACTTTGCCACCTGGGCTGGCTTTGAACCTCAATCCTCGGCTCTCAGCCTCCTGAGAAGCGAGGATTACAGGTGTGAGTCACCAGCACCTGGCTGGGGTATGATTTTTAACTCCAGAAACAGCTGAGGGAGGGAACTGAGGCACGGGGAGGGAGCAGCGAGTCTCAGAGTCACGCACAGAGCCTGTGAATGGAATGGCAGAGCAGAGCAGGAAGGCCAGAGCTCGGGCCTCCAGCGCGCGGCTCCCGGGAGTCTCGCAGGGACCAGCCGCCCGCGTCCCTGGAGGTCCAGCCGCCCTTGGACGGGCAAGTGGCTGCCCGGGCCAGTGTGTGGCTATCACTTTCAATTCCTGGGAAGAAGGTTAAATACTTCTGAGAGGCCCATTGAGGCGGCAGCGGCGGCGGAGGGGGCGACCGAGTGACTTTCAAAGAGGCCTGAAAGCCGGGCCGGCCCCTCCCCCTGGGGGGGGCCCCGGCTTCCTCCCAGCCTAATGATATTCTGGGCTCAGCCCTCGTCTTTGGCGGCAGTTTAACCCGAGCCGGGGCGGATTTCTTTCTCACTGATCTCAGCTTGACACCCAATTAGCACAAGAATGGGAGGAGGAAGCCTGCGAGAGCGCCTCCCAGCCTCCTGGGGCGAGCGAGGGGAGCGGGAGGGGAGACAAAGGGCGGGGATGGGGGGGGGAGGGCATGGCGCCCCCTCCCCCTCCCCCAGGACCCCGCCATTGTGTCCCTACGAGCTTCAGCGAGGATGGAGGCCTACGCCCCGGTTGGCCGGCCTGCCCGAGGAACCCGGGTTAGGGCCCAAGCCCTGATGTAGGGAGACGATCCGAGGGGCCGGCCCTGGGTGGTGTGAGCGTCAGCTAAAAGGGAGGCCTCACCCTGAAGAATCCTCCAGCTGGGCGCCCGTGGCACACGCCAGTAATCCTCTGTACTCTGGAGGCTGAGTTCCAAGGATTGCCGTTCAAAGCCAGCCTGGGCAGAGAAGTCCGTGAGACTCTTATCTCCTTTTAATCACAGGAAAAAGCGCAGTGGTGCTGTGTGGCACAAGTGGTACAGCGCTCGCCTTGAGCAAAAGAGCTCAGGGGCAGCGCCCAGGCCCAGAGTTCAAGCCCCAGGGTGGGCAAAAAAAAAAAAAAAAAAAAAAAGAATAAGAAAGGAGCCCATGCTAGGACTGTTGGAAGGAAACTTGTC